AAGGTGCTTTGGAATTAGGTTCTGCTCTTTCTTAATGCAAATAATTAAAAACATTAGGAATTTTTATTTGGTAATAATACCTATTAAAATAAATAATATTTTTTCTTTAATATTTTTGAAACTTAATAGTAACAACAATATTTAAGCAGAAGGAGTATCAAATTTGATGTCATAATTAGCCCTATGCATAAATATCAATAATTTAACCCTTGATATTTCGTAAATATAAATTATATTCTTCTTAGTTTATTTTCTAATAATTTTTAAATATTTGGATTATTTAATAACTTATTTTTATGTTTAAGTTTTGCTAATTTCTTTTTTCAAACACAAGTAACAATAAAATTGGCGAATAAGGGGCAGAATATTTAGGAAATTTTTTAATTATATTCCCAAATCTAGAAATCTTAGAGTTAAGCCTTAGGTAATCATAATATAACGCTAAGTTCTTATTTTATATGTTGAAAGAAAAATCAAACTTAAAAATTTTAAAATATTTAATTTAAACATAGAAAAATTAATTTTAAATTTTTTTTAAAGCTTAAACGGGATAGGAAATTTAGGAGTTTAAAGTTTAGGATAATATTTATCATAATGTTAGAATCTAAGAGCAATCTCATTGTTTCTTTAGTAACTTCTCTTTTATTATTAAAGATTTATTTTAATATGATTAAAACTAAATAGCTATAATCATGTTAATGGAGAAGGTATTTTAAGTCTAAGTTTTTCATTAATAAAATGCAAAAATCTAAGATCTTTATTTCTAGACTTTTAGTAAATGATAAATTAATTTCATAAATATTTTTTTAATAATTAATTTTAAAATTATCTTAAAATTCAAAACAAAATTATATAAATCTATGATTTAAAAAAAACTAATTTTAATCAACAAATTTCATTTTATTAGAAATATTTTTAAGTATATTATTTATTTTATTGATAAATTTTTGATATTTTGTCTGTCTGTTTTTGTTTTTAGAGAATTTAATTTTTATTCGTTTTATAAAAAAAAGATTTAATTTATTTTGGACAATTAATTATATATTTACAATTTATACAGATTTAAATAATCTTTTTAAAATAACAAGATTCAACAGAATAGATGTTTAGAGTGCTTGTGATTTAGGTTCTATTTTAAAATAAAGTAAAAGCATAGTAAATTTAGAGATCTTGCTCATGTAAAATATAATCAAAAATCTTTTTTTAGTATTTTTTTATAATGATTCAGACAGACTTATCAATATAAAATAATAAATTAATTTTTATCAAAAAAGGGGCTATTATCTAACTGATAGAAGTTTATAGAATCTAAAAAATAGGCTAAAAAAAATAAAAAGATTAGTTGTTAATAATAGTAACTTTTGATTTATTGATTATCAATCAATTAAAATAAATGTTACAAAAAAATAAAGTTGTTTGATTAATTCCTTTGTTTAATCAATTCTATTTAAATATTTTATTTTTATTGCTATTTATTTTATCAATATTAAGTATTAGAAATAAATTTAAATCATACTATAATAAAAAATATGTATCTTTATATTAAAACGGTAACACAGGAAATAATACCTTTTTATTTTTGCACTAAATTTAAATTTATAACGCAAATCATAATTGCTCAAGTGTCCTTTAGAAAAGTTGCACAATTTATTGTATTTATTTATTCTGCATATATTTATTCTAAATATGAAAATAAAGTGGTATTAATTTATTTTTTATCAGAAAATTTGACCAACCAACATATCTGATAAAATCGACCTAAATTCCATCACTGTTTATAATATTATAAAATATAAATAAATCTATTATAAATTAAAAATTTAATATCTGAAATTAAATATTTATAATAAACAATCATAAAATAAATATTTATTAATAAAAAGTAAAATAAAATTATTTAATTAATTAAATGTATAGCAATCAAATCCAGGAATTAAATTCTTACTATTCCACATCCATAAGAATTTAATTAATACCTGAAAGTGCTTTATATGAAGGATTTTTCCACTTCTAATAATTAAACTGATGTTAGAATAATTTAATACGAAATTAATTTATATTTTTTCTCTTTATTAAAATATTTTATGTAAAATTAAATAAGATTTATAGAGAAAATCATAAAATATGATATTAAACTTTTGATATTTAAGTTATTTCACAAGATAATTTAAATTATATAAAAATAAATTTTATCTATTGTTCAAGATATTATTTAATTAACCAATATGAAAATAATTTAATTGAAGATAAATTGGCTTTAAAATCGATTTGATTAAGAAATAGTCTTTAGACAATTAATAGCTTTAGGTATAATCGAATAAGTATATCAAAATTAATATTTTGTTTAAAACCTAAATATAGAAATCGAAAAGAGATTTTATCAAAGATAGTTTGCTTAGCTAAATAAAGAATAGATGTTAGTATATTTTTTTTTTCAGTTTTTTCACTTAGAATCACTTATTAAATTACAATTATATCTATTATGAATTTAAAAATAGATATTTTTAAATCCCTATGCATTTATGATTAATTAATTGAATTAATTAATATAGAAATAAGTAAGTAAGTAAGAAAGTAAATACAAGCTAAATAAGGAGATATGGATAACTAACAAATCGATTAAGCAATAAGCATTCAGCAAAACTAGTTGCTAAATTAGAATTATTATGAGCAAATAAATAATTTCCTAAAGTAAAACAATATTGAGATCGAAAAAAAGATTGGAGAGGGATTTTTTGCAGAGGTTTTTTAGGCAACTTAGATTAATGAATAGAGGAGAGTAGCTATTAAAAAAGTAAAAGATCTGAATAAGGAGTAAAAATTTGAAGACGAAAAGAAAGCGATGTACAAAATTAAGAATCAGCAGTATGCTATATAAATAATAGGAGAATTGACAAATAAAGAACTAGGTTATAATGCTATAATCATGGAGATTTGTGACTGTAAAATAAATATGTTAATAAAAAAATGTTAATAAACTTTTTAAAAGGTACACTCGCAGAAATATTTGAAAAGAATATCGATAACTTCACTGAAGAATAATTTATTGCATTGGTTTATCAATTGTTAAAGGGATTGCTAGTTTTCTAGGAGAAGGGAATCATTCATGGAGATCTTAAGCCAGAAAATATTTTATACAACCAGAAAAAAAATAAATTCCTTATATGTAAATAAAGAATACAAAAAAATATGACTTAATAAATTATTTTAATATATAGCTGACCTTGGACTTAGTTAAATCTTACAAAAACCAGAGCTCTAACAATTTATTAGCGTATTTCAATTTGTTTTAAGTCTTAATTAAAATCTTATTCATTCCATTTTTATTTTTAGAAATAGTCAAAATCAAAGAGTGGAAATTTTAAGTATATGGCTCCAGAAGTAGTTCATAATAAGAAGCCTTACACAATCAAAGTAATTGTAGCATAATTAGCTCATGTGAAAATATATCTCACATAATTTTAGTTTTGAAGACATTTTAATTCTAAAATTTTTACTGCTTTGGAGGGATATGAATTTCATTAATTTATAAGTTCTACTTAATTAAAAATATTTATAATAAATGAATTATTTTATCATACAAATTATTAATTAAAAAAAGATTGATGTATTTTCAATAGGACTAATGCTTTTGGAGTTTGTTTTAAAAAGGGAATTAACTCTTTCAGAATCCCTAAGATTAAAAGAGAATAACAGTTTATTTGATGTTATTCAAAATCTACAAAATAACCCATACATTGAGTTTATTAATTAGATATTAGCTAAAATGGTATGTTTTGAGAGCGAATAAAGGCTAGAATCTATGTAGTTGCTTTAGAGGTTAAACCAATATATTGTAAATGAAGAATCTTTAAAATCTCTACAATTCAATAACAAGAATCTTTATCAATATGATTGGGGTTCCGAATATGAAATACAATTCAATACATTTACAGAGGTTTATTCAAAATAATAAACTAACAATAACAAGCAATTAACTATTGAAAATAATTTCACTCAATATAATAAGAACTCATCTAAAGAAATTTAGCTATCTGATGTTAAACTCCTTCATAAAGAATAATTAAAAGAAGTTTGTATAAACAAGGATAGTTTGATCAATCACTAAGATTTAAGTAACTACCAAGCAGTAAAACTAGATTTTAGGTATGTTTTTCAAAATAAAATAAATTTAATTCATATATTTTAAAATTAATTAATGCATTCATTTATAATTTTAATTTTATAATTCAGAGGTACTTTATCTGTTTAAAGTAGCTGCTTATGTTTTGGAACTGGAAGCAATAATGTGGTAAGCGCAATTCAAAAAATCTAAGGTGTAAAAAGCATAACATCTGTGATATTAGATTTGACGTAAACTATTATTTTATTTAATATTTATCCATAATTTATCTATTTTCAATACATCAATTTATTATTTTATATATTATCTATCTTCTTAGATTTTATTTATTTTTATATCCTTTCATTATAATTCTTTTCTAAAAAGAATTATTATGGGTGATGATAATAGTTAATTAGTGAAATTTTTTTTACAAAATAAATAATATTTTTTATATTAATTAGAAATAACTAATTGAACGCTAAGAAAGTAAACAGTATTGTAGGTAGCTTATCTTAATGCAAAAACATAAATTCTATAGATTTAAGGTAATTCATGTTTGATTTTTTACTGTTTTGAGGTTTAAGATTATTTTTCTAAAAATAGACATTTATTAATTTTAACTTGATTAATTGTTGATTAATTTGATATATTTAATTAAAATATTATATAATAATAGTATCAATTAGGACTATTACAATGAAGCAGAGATGAAAAATATTTTATCTTTTTTGAAGGTTTGCTTAGAATTGCCTACTTTTAATCTTAAGATAATGTATGTTAATCATTTTGGATAAAATATTTTTAAACTTTTTTATTAAATTAATTTTCTTTTTTTAGAATTATTTTATTTATTTATTTAAGAATGCTAATTTAAATATTAAATTTGATTTTATTATTTCAAAGCGGCTAAGGAAATGAAGTCATCTTGAAAAAATAAGGCAACACAATAACCTTTTTGCTAGATCAAACATAATTTAAGTAAAAAATATTAATCCATAGATATATTCGAGCGAGATACTTTAATCAGCTTTTAATAATAAAATAAATTTATTATTATTATTTATTAAAGATTTGATGAATTGCTTCACAAATAGAGATTTACTAACATCAAATCAGTCTTGTAAAACTTACCATTTAATACATAGATGAAAATAAAAATAGAGTAAATTATTTAAATTATTAATTTATTTTGATTAATTTATTAATAAACTTTATCAAATATAAAAGAATTAATAAAAATATATTTTATTATTTAATTAATAACATTTATTTTAATATTTTATAGCTATAAGTTTGGCAATAAAGAGGCTAATATTGTAGCATAGTCTTTAGCAAATTACTAGAACATTACTCACATCGCTCTCAATATTAAGTGAATTTATTTTTTAATTAAACCTATATTTCTTTACATTTATTATCTTATTAAATTTTATTTATAAAATTTATAGAAATAGTCAAATTGACATTGAAGGAGCTAAATCTATTTCTAGTATCGTTTAAAATTGCAAAAATGCTAATTAATTAAGTCTTCATTTATCATAAGAGTAAATATCGTTAGATTATTTTATTTTTTTCATATATTATAAACATGGACCATTTATTAGCTTTTATTATTTATGCTGAATATAAAATTATTTAATCTAGCAACGATTCTCATATGGGTTATTAAGGAGCAAATAGCATTATTGATACAGTACAAAGCTGTCAGCATCTAAATTTACTGAATCTTAAGTTAATGTACTTTTAAACTTTATTGTATTGGATATAAATGTTAAATTATAATCCAAAAGTAACTGTAATATTGAAGTATAAGGAGTCAAAGGTGTTTCTAATATCATTAAAAGATTTAATAGTATTAATAACTTGAAAGCTCATTTTAGGTAATATGTTTGTTTACCCTTTAATTAAAATGCTGTTATTTCAAAAATAAATATTTTTTATTAGCTTTATTAAATTATTTTTAATTGAAAAGTAAATCTAATATTGATATTGAAGGAAGTAGTGCTATCAAGAATAGTAATTGTCAAAACGGATAGAATAGTATTAAATTCAACATCAATTTAAAGTAAATTTTAGTTATTTATTTATTTACAACAATCCAAATTCTTTTTTATCTCAAATATTTTTTATAAGTATTTGTTAAATTATTTTAATACCATATTACCTCCACTTATCTGAATAAAGATTTTATACTTTTTTAAAGAATGGTAATTAAAATAACTAAGCTATTAACCACTAATTTTTGCTATTTAAGGTTAGCCACCTCTCAAATGTAATAGATATATATTATCAAATTCATAGACTACTTATCTGTCTAATTGCAGATGGAAAATAATTATTTTTAATTTTATTGACTGTTTATGAAACTCTACTTCCAAAATCGACTTAACTTTTTAATAAATAAAATATTTTTTAAAAGAGTTTAGAAGAATTTATTATTAAATTTACCTTTTAATTAAAGTATTTAATAATTAATTAATAAATTAATAATTTAAGCAACAATATTAACATGGATGAGTAAGGAGCCAATAGCATATTTGAATCGATATATAATTGCCAACGCCTAAATTAATTTAGTCTTAAGTTATAGTAACTTTAGTTAAATCTAAACGTTAATGATATACATTTTAATATTTTAAAGCGATTGCATTATTAGTGCTTAAGGGATTTAAAATCTTACAACTATCTTATAAAAATACAAAAGTATTACTTTCTTGAATGCTAGTTTAAGGTAGTTTGTAGCATTTGACTTTGCTTATAAAAAACAGACTCTTAATTTTAAATTCTTAATAAACTTATTAGCAAATCAAAAATCGATATTGAAGGTAATAATCTTGATAAAAATGTGATTCAAAGTGGATAAGATAAAATTAAATTTAATATTAATCTAAGGTAAATTTTACAAGAATTATTTTACAATTTGTCCTTTAAAAATATAAATATAAAATTCATTATAAATTAATTTAGAATGAATGATAAATTTATTAATTTTTTAATTTTTTTTAAAAGCAACAATATTAAAATGGATACTTAAAGTATAAACAATATTATTGAAACCATTCAAAATAGCTAAAATTTAAATCAGCTCATTTTGAAATCAGTGTAATTGATTAAGTTAAATTGAATTTATCATTTTAATTTATTCTTAATAATGGAAAGTGATAGTAATATTGGTAATATTGGAGTAAATAGTATATCAAATATAATATCTAAGTATGGAGAAATTACTTAATTCAGTGCTTGCTTAAGGTAAATTAAATAATAAAACTTTTATTTTTTATTGAAAATAAACAAAATTCTTATTTAATTTTTTATTTATTAAATAGCAACTCAAAAGTTACTGTCGAAGGGACTGGAATTATAATTAACAGTAGCCAAAATAATAAAAAGGATATTAAATTTAGCATAGATCTTTGGTAATTACACAAACTAAATTAATTAATTAATTTGATTTCTTTATTTTCTTTTGTAAAAATCTAATCACTGAAAATCTTACTAAAAATTTATATATAAAAATAGTATTGATTTTCATATTGGTACTTAAAGAGCCAACAGCATTATGGAGGCTATAAAAAATTGCTAGAAGCTAAATAAAATGAGTCTAAAGCTAATGTAGATAATTTTGAATTAATTTATAATTTTATTGATTTATTATCATTTCAATGAATTTAAGTGATTGCAATATTGGTGTTTAAGGTGTAAATGGTATTGCTAGTCTCATTAAGAAATATGAAACTGTATCCTAATTAGGCTTTTGTTTAAGGTAAATTTTTTAAAATTTGTTATATTTTCAATCATTAATATGGTCTCAGACTAGCTTTTTTTAATTTCAATTTATTGTATATTGAATCGATAATTCATATTATTTATTTATTATTTTACAGTAAGACAAGAATTCATATTTAAGGGGCTAATACTGTTAATAATAATATCAATAATGACTCTAGTATTTAGTTTAAAGTTGATTTAAGGTAAATAAATCTCTATTTATTTATTGAGTGCTACTTTAAAAATTTCTTAAAGAATTAAATTCGATTTTCATAAAAATTTATTTGCTTTTGATAATTCTACTTTTTCAAATGTTTGGCAAACTGAATTTCTTTAAAGTATTCAGCATTTGATGTTTTATTTCTCATTTCGATAATTAGAATACTTACTGTAAATGTTCATATATGAATGTTGATTGCATTAATTTAGGAGAGTTTTTATAAAAATTGATAATCTGGGAATGTTATTTTATTAAGTAAGCATTTAAGTTAGGGGCTTAAAATAAAAACAAGGTATCGATAATATATGAATGAACATTTACCTTATTAAAAATTTACTGGCTACCTGTTCGTTTTCATACTAAATTCTTAGACCAATTTATTTATTCTATAAAATTGAGAGCTATGAATGCAATGAAATTTTATGTTTTAAATATTTTATTAAGAAAAGATAGATTTTTTTAATCTCTAAAATTTTATTTATCAATTAAAAGGATATTTTTAACATTTTTAGACAATTAAATATGAACAAATATTATACTGATAACAATTATTTATTATTTCTTTAAAATTGATGTTAGTGATAACAGTATTGGTGCACAAGGATTCAAAAATATTACTGAAGCAGTTTTAGACTATAAGAATATTAATAAACTTGATGTGCATTTATTTGGAGAGTAAGTTTTTCATTTGTTTGATTCATCTAACAATAAATAATATATAAAATTAAATACTAGCTACTACCTAATTGGTGTTGAAGGAATTAGAAATCTGACTAAAGTCAAGCAAAATTGTGAAAATATTACTCAACTGAGCTTAAAATTGATGTATTTATTTGATTACTTACAATTTTCATATATAAATATTCACTAATATGTTATTGTATTGTTATATAAATAATAGCAACTGCAACTTCGGTGTAAAAGGAGCTGTATTAATAGCGGATATGATTAAAAATTATAGCAGTGTTACTTCATTCAGCCTTTCTTTAAGGTAAATTCAATATCCTTTATTTTAGAGAAATTAATTTTTATTTAATAAACTTTTAATGTATTTATTTTTATTTAATAAAAATTAGTTAGTTTTAGGTTAATATTTAAGGAAAAAAATACAAAGAGAATAGTGATCTTGTTGAAAGTCAATTCATTATTGAATATTCGTAGATTTATTCATTTTATCTTATTTCATTCTTCAATTTATAAAAATATATTTTATATCAATATTATTCATTTATTTATTATATTGTCTTTATTAAAAAACTAGTGAAAATAATATTGGCGTTGATGAAATTTAAGAAATAGCTAATGGAATATAGAATTTCACAAATATTACTGAGTTAGACTTGAAATTAAAGTAGCTTTTAGAGAATTAATTCACTTTGATTTGATAATCATTTCACATCTATTGATTTTGAGCTCATTAAATCACTTATTAATTTTTAAAATATTAATAAGAAACAGCAACTTTGTTTTTTAAGCAGTAGAAATTTTAACTAAAGCTATACCAAATGATAAAATTACAAATAAATTTAGCCTAATTTTAAAGTAATTTTCTTTTTCTTCTAGTTTTTTATTAAAATATTTATTTATTCTTTTTAAATTATAAATTTAATTTATTTAAAATAAAAATTAGTAACCAAAGTATTGAAATTGAGGGAATTGAGAGTATTGCCAAAATTATGACAAAATATAGCAATATTTCTAATCTGACTATTCATTTAAGGTTATCTTTTAAAATTTAATTATTCACTCTTTAAAATAAATCATTCAATAAAAAAAATGTTATTTTATATTTAAGATTTATAAATTAATTTATTTTATATTTTTATTTAGTGGTGGCAAAATCGGTGATGCAGCAACTTAGATTTTTGCTTAAGCTTTTCAAGAATATCAAAATGTTACTTTATTTGATCTTAATTTAAGGTAAAAATTAAAATTTTATTTCTGAGATTAAAATTTAGTTTAAATTTATTTATTTTATTTTTAAATTCATCAAATATTTCTTTTTTATATTAAATATATTATTAAATTATGTTAGTGAGTGCTAAATAGGAATAGAAGGAGCTATTAGCATAGCTGATGAAATTAAAAATTAATAAAATATTATAGAAATGAATCTTAATTTAAGGTAATTTTAACTTAATCTAATTTCGAATTACTAAAGATATAATAAACCATGATCGCACTTCATAATACTTGCCATACTTTTAAAATAAATATTTTATTTAACTATCCTACCCTACTCAGAAAAAAAATTAAAAGATTTGAATGAAAGATAAAATTTATTTTTAAGGAGGTTGAAGTTTTAATTCATTTGATAATTTATTTAACATTTTCTTGCTATTTTTTATTAGAAGAATTTAACAAATAGATTTATTTCTTACTTCTACTTTTTGATAAAGAATTAATAAAATTTTGCAAATAAGTCAAGACAAAATTCCTTATTTTAATAGAAAATCATTACCATTGATATAATAATTCTAATATATTCCTAATTTCTACAATTAATTCTATCAATTATTAACAAAATTTATTTATTTTCTTGCTTGATATTTAATATTTTATTTGCCATAAATTTCTTATTCAATCATTTTTTAATTATGCTAGTAAGAATCAAATTAATGATAAGGGTGCTGAAAATATTGCAAAAGCTCTAGAATAATATAAAGATGTTACTAAATTTTCACTTTCTTTAAGGTAATTTTTATCAATTTTATTTTAAAATGGTTTTTAAAAGTAGATTTTAGAATCTTATTAGCAATATTTTAATTGCATAACTCTTTTTATTAAATAATTTAATAGCGAAAATAGCATCGGAGAAGCTGGAGCTCAGAGTGTTTCTAATGCAATAAGAAATTATTCAAATATCTCAGAATTGAATCTTGATTTAAGGTATTTACCTTTTTAAAATAATTAACTTATCCTGATACAAATATTATTGTTTTAAAACAATTTATAGTAAGAACTCCATAGGAGACAAAGGAGTTAATAGCCTAGCCAATGGAATATAAAACTATCTAAATATAACACAATTTACACTTAATTTAAGGTATTTTTATTAATTATTTTTTAAACTCTCTTTATTTAATTAAAATAATGTTTTTATAACTCTTTTAGTGAGAATTCAATTGGCTTTGAAGGTGTTAAGAGCATAGCTAACGCTATATAATACTATTAAAATCTTTTAAAACTATCATTCAATTTATAGTAATTACTTCTAAATACCTCATCTTTGAAATTTTATTAATAATTGAATTCATATTTTAATCTTCTGATTATATTTCTAAAACTTTATTAGTGGTAATAGGGTTGATGATTAAGGAGCTATTAGGATTGCTAATTCTATATAAACATACAAAAGCATTACTCATTTGACTCTTTCTCTTGAGTAATTTACTAAAATGATACTTTGTTCAATAAATTAATGATTATTTAATTGATTTAATAGAAATAACTAAATTGGAATAGAAGGAGTGAAGAATATTGCTAGTTCCATAAAAAACTTTTTAAATATGACCCATTTAACTCTGAATTTCAAGTAATCTAAAGCTAATTTTTAATTTTCTCCCTTACTCTAGAATGTATATTGACTAAGCTTTATTCAATTTGTTTTTAAATCCTTATTAGAAACAATCAAATTGGGAATCAAGGAGCTATATCGATTTCTTAAGCTTTGTAAAATTACCAAAAGATAATCAAATTAACAATTTTATTGAGGTACTTTCTTCTATTTAACTAACTAAAAATATATCAATTATGTTTAAATCTTTAATAAACTCTTATTCATTCATTAAATTTACATTATAGATCAAATCCTATTACTGCAGAAGGTGTAAATAGCATAGCTGGCGCAATATCGAATTATCAGAATATTAAAAAATTGAATTTGGATTTTTCTGAAATGTAGATAAATTTTTATTTATTTTTGAAATATTAGATTCAATTATTTTAAAGATATTTAAAATATTTTATAAGTTAAAAAGAGATTGGGGATGAAGGAGCTAATAGCATAGCAAAGGCTTTACAAAATTTTAAAAACATCACCTCCTTAATTCTTAATTTAAAGTAGTTTTATTTAAAAATTACTTAAAAGCTAAATAATTAATTTTTTTTAATAAATCTGCTAGTTGGAATAATATTTGTCTTGATGGAGCTAAATATATAGCTGAAGCAATATCAAATTATAAAAATATTATTGAACTATCATTATATTTAAGGTATTTGATAAGAAACATTTTAAGTTGCTAATGAATTTCAAAATGATTAATTAGTGGTAACAAAATTGGAGTAGATGGAGCTAAAAGTTTAGCCAATGCAATAAGAAATTACTAAAATATTACTTCACTAAATCTTTATTTATTGTAAATTATTTAATTAAATTTTTATTTTTTAAGTGTTTATTTAAAACTTATCCTAAAAATAAAATAAAATTTGAATCTCTCATTTCAAAAATAACTTAACAGTAGAAATTAAATAGGCTCAGAGGGAGCTAAAAGCCTAGCTAATTGCATACAAGATTATCAGCTTATTAATCAATTGACTTTATAGTTAAAGTAGTTTTATTCAACTTAATTTCTTGGGTTTTTATGAAATATAATTTAAGACATTAAATCTTTTTTTTATTTTTATTTAATTCCTATCAAATTTATAATTAGTGATAATATCGGTATTGAAGCGGCTAAATGTATTGCTAATGCCATCCAATATTACTAAAATATCAGCCACTTAAATCTTTACTTAGGGTATATTGAAATACATTTTATTTTTCTCATTTGATAAAAAACATACCGCAAAAAAATTTGTTTCAAACTTTTAGAAAAAAAAGCTTAATTTTGTGTTAATTTTTTTCTCTTGTTTGGATATGGTTATAAATTTTCAAATAATTTTTCACAATTAAATTTTTAACAGTATCTATAAATTTATGATTTTAATATTAAATATAATCTTTATTTATTTAATCTGAAGATTTTTAAATTATAATTAAAGTTAAAATTCTATTGGAGTAGAAGGAGTGAAGAGTATTGCAGAAGCGATAAAGAGCTATGAAAATATTACTCAACTATCACTTGATTTTAGGTATTTTTTTTAAGTCTTTAATTTATTTTTACTATAAATATTCATTAATATTTAAATTATTATGAACTTCATTTAATTTAACAACTGTTTTATATGAATGATTAGTGATAATTAGATTGGTTTGTAGGGAGCTTAGAGGGTAGCAAGTGCTTTAGAAAATTATTAAAATATTCGCGAATTAGAAATTAATTTATCGTAAGATAAAATATTTTACTTTTTAATATAAATAGTAGAATATTAATTATAAAATTAACTTTAAAATTTTAATTTTGTCTTATTTGCTATTTATAATTTATTTTTTATAAATTATTTTAGTTCTAATTTCATAGGATTTGAGGGTGCAAATAGTGTTACTAATGTGATACAAAATTACCAAAATATCACTTGTTTAACTCTTGACTTTAGGTAATGTTATTTACACTTAAATTTAAGATGAAAAATATATTAAACTTTTTTATTTTCTAATAAATTATTTTCATTTAAAAATAGAAAAAATAATATTGTTGATGATTTTAAAAGTAGTTTTGAAAAAAGTTTGAAAGGAATCAAATCAACAAGTAAAGTCATTTTTTATTTATTTTTTAATTCTAATTATTTTAATTTATTGAAAAGTTTATGTTTGAAACAAGCAGTTTGATACAAAATTAATTTTATACTCAGAACCTCTAAAAAATAAATATTGATAAAGCTTAGTCAATAAATAAATTAATTATCATTATATTTAGCTTCATTTTTTAGTAAGCAATAAATACAATATAAAATACATACTCTCTATGTAACAATTTATAAAATTAAAATAATACAAAAATAACCTTTATTATTTTACTCTAAAAATTATCAATGTTTTTGCGTTAAACCTTTTATATATTATCATTATTCAAAAATATTATATAAGAAAATATGAAATTGGGTACAGAGCGTCAGACCAAAATTTTCTTCCAATATACCCTAACATTTTTGAATACTTAAAGTAAAGTATGTCAACGAATTTTTTTATTCTACTGACACCGCATTGCCAATATCTATTATATGATATATTAGAAAAATATTTATGTAAGCTATTAAATTGTTATCTAAATAAATATTTAAGTAATATTTTGATTATATATAAAGCATAAACATTCAATATATTTATTTAAATAACTACTCTTTAAATATATATTATGAAATATAGCAACCAAATTTACTAATTAGTCCTATAAATCCATTTACTTGAGATTCTATTTTATCAGATTTAACTTTTGTTTTATCAATGCAGTATATTTTTATACAATATTTATTTTTAAATTAATTTTTTTAAAAATTAAAAAAAAGTAAACAGAGAAAAATGAATGAATCTATTTAAAAATAAATTAATTATTTAGATGATGTATTTTATTATTTTAACTATAAATAATTATATTTATTTAATTTTATCAAATCAAAAGCTTTTGAACTCTGAGCTATCTTCTCACAAGTATCTAAATATCCGCTTAGAGTAAAAATCTTTATATATTCTTCTTTAAATATTTCAACAAATTTTAATTAAATTATGTTTATTCATTATTTATTTTGATAATTAAATTTTAATTTTTTTTCAACTATGAATTAACATTTTAATTTTTAAAGTATTATTTTTTCAAATTGGTTATTTGAATATTAACTTAAAGATTTTCTTAAAAATATAAATAAAGGAATTATAAAATTGATTCAAATTCTGCTTAAGACCTAAGTTCTTGTTTAGCAAAATGTGTTAATCTCTAAATTTTGACACTTGATTTTGAGTATAATAGTTATTTTATTTTATCTTTCTTCTTCTTAATTACGTATAAATTATTAAACATACAAATACTTATTTGATAAGTTTAATTAATTTTATTTGATTATTTATTCTTTGATTTCTTTATTTTTTAAGTTTTTAGCCTTTTTTAGCCTTTAATTTTAATTTAAAATTATTGTTTTTTTTAGACTTAAATTTCGTTTAAATTTCTATCCCATTTAAATTAAATTATTTTTCTAATAATTCTTAAAGATATAATTATGTTGATGACATAAATATCTCATATTTAATTTCTGGTTTATAAAATTGTAACAATCTTTCTAATTTTGCATTTAATCTTAGGTAAAAATATCTTTTTTGTAATTGCTAATAATTTATTGTTTTTTTCAGCATGATAAAAATCTGAAATAGATCTTATTTTATTCAAGCCCTTATTAGATAGCCCCTAACTTTACATTTATTCTAATAAATTTATACTTTCTTTTATAATTTTTACATTACTTATTTATTTTTGAACTTTACTTTTCAAATTATTCTTTAAATCTTACAAAGTTAATTTTAAAAATTTTTAAAAAACTAAATATTTTTCACAAAAATTAAACAGAGGAAATTCTATCAGGGCATAGGGGGCTTTGTGCTTAGGTTCTTGTTTTGCAAAGCTTTCTAATCTCTCAACTTTGAACCTTGATATCTTGTAAAAATAATATTTTACTTTAATAAATATTCTATTTTTTTATTTATTTTAAGCAAAATAAAAAACACCATTAAAAATATTTTTTTGATAAATCTTTTTTTTGTAGATTAATTTCCTTTAAATAAATTATAATAATTTCATATTTATTTTATCTTGTCCTTTTCTTACGTAAACATATCAGCTAATTTTTTAAAAATAAAAAAAGTGATAATCAAATAGGTGCATAGGGTGCATTAGACTTAGGTCTTTGCTTATTAAAGTGCAGTAAAATCTAAACTTTAACACTGAACCTCTAGTAAAAATAGTTTATTGATTTTTAACTTGTATTTATTACTTATTTGTTTATTTTTAAATTATTCTTTTTTATAATAAATTTATATTTCACTAGTTGATTTTATTATTAAATCATTTATAAAAACATAATAAGTTGCAATGATGTTGGTGAATAGGGTATACTAAATTTAAGTTCTTGTTTAGCATACTTAGCTAATCTCTCAAATTTGAATCTCAATCTTGGGTAAAAAATAGATTTTCATTAAATAAAACTTTTTTTATTTGTTCAAATTTATAATTGTATTCTTGTATTGGCTATATAACTCATTCATTAAATTTTTAATTGATTTATTTTGATATTATTTGATTTTTACTTACAAACTTTTATATTTTTTTAACATTAAATTTGCATCTTACTTTTTAAATTGTCATTTTTTCTCATTTATTTCTACTTTTTGTAACAAATTAACTAAATAATATTCTTAATCTAAAAAGGGACAATGGAATTGGTATTAATGGTGCAAAAAATCTAGGTATAGGTTTAAGATAATGCTCTCATCTCTAAATTTTGACTCTTAACCTAAAGTAAAATAGCTAACACTTTTGTCTTAAATTTAATTTATCTAAATTGGATAAAAATGAATAAATAATAGAATTAATTTCTTATTTTAAATAATAAAACAATTTATTTTATCTCATTAAGTAATTTTATTTTCAAAATTTATTCAATATAAATTTCCATTTTAATTCTATTTTAAAATTGTTTTAAGCTAGAATTTTTTTCTAAAATAAATAGTAATAATGATATTACTGATTAGGGTACATCTGATATAGTCTATGGACTAGCAAAATGTGTAAATATCACAAATATAAATCTCTAACTAGAGTAGATTAAAATTTAATACTTTTGCATATTATTTTAACAATAAATAAAAAATATTTATCTAATTAAAAATTTTGATTGGTCTCAGCACTATTTTTAAATATTTATTTTTATTTATATATTTATTTCTTTTATTTAAATTTTTGTTGTTGTTGTTTATTTTATTTTTTCATATTCTCCAAACTGATAAATTTTCTAAAATATACAAAAAGAAGTAATTTAATTGGATCATAGGGTGCACATGACATAGGTAAAAGTTTCAATGAATTATTAAATCTGACAGCTTTGACACTCAACCTCTAGTAAAAATATATTATTTATTTTTTTCAATGATTTCTTAGTAAAATCAAAATTGTAAAAATAAACTTAACTTTATTATTATTTGCAATATTATATTAAAAATTTTCATTATTTACTTAAACTAATTAATTTATTTATTTATTTTTTCAATTTTAAATTTACTCTACAAAATATTTTGTTTCATCAATATTTATTTATTTCTAAAATTTTCTTCATGTAAACGATTAAAATATTAATAAAAGTTGCAATGATATTGGTTCACAGGGAGTATCAGATTTAGGCTTAAGTTTTGTGAAATGCACTTGTCTCTAAACTTTGATTCTTGATCTTAAGTTAAAATTCAATATTTTATTTAATTATTTTAATAAAAATTAAGAAAACATGGTTAATCTAATCTATATTTTTTGTGTATTATTTTATTTATTTCAATTAATAAATAAATAAATTTATTCATTTTTTTTTTAAGCTTTTATTAAATTAAAAATATTTTCAACATCCTTTTTTTTCAAATTACCTTAAAATATATTAAAGGGGAAATTCAATTGGTGAATAAGGTATGTAAGATTTAAGTTCTAGTTTATCAAAATGTGCTAAACTTTAAGATTTGACACTTCATCTCTAGTAAAAATTGTTAATTAATATTTTTGTTTTATTTATATCAAAAAGTTAAAAATTAGAAAACTATAAAATTTTAAATTTATAAGTTAATTTTATAAATATTTATTAAAAATTTATATAAGTAGGTATAAATGCGCTTA